TCCCAAACCCGTATGGTTCAATGCTCGACTACGAAATTTGAAGCGTATGAGATCGAAGGCCCTCCGTAAATACTGTCGTACTCGTAACCCATTCACCAAACGATTATTTTCAATAGCGAGCAACGAATATCGCACATATAACCGCATTCTTTACAAGAGCTACATAAGACGTGTGCAGACTAATTTACGGCTTAATCCAAAGCAGTTCTGGTCATTCGTGAATACCAATCGAAACGAGGAGGAGCTAACAGTCGAAATTCACCTGGGTGATAGAATCGCCAGCAATTCCCTTGATAAATGCAATCTTCTGGCAGAACATTTCAAAAGCATTTTCAATGACACTACGACTTCGTTGTCCCAAATTGCTGAAGCGGTGAGGGACACTCCCAGTGATGCTTTCAATTTTTCGATTACCTTGGTTACAGTAGACCTCGTCGAATCCGCCATCAAGAAGCTGAAATTTTCTAATGCTGCTGGCCCTGACGGGATTCCCTCAAGCATCCTGAAGCGATGCTGTTCAGAGCTTACAACACCGCTTTAGAAGCTGTTCAATATTTCATTACAGCAGGGGAGTTTCCTACGCGTTGGAAATCGTCATTCATGTTCCCGATCTACAAGAAAGGAGACAAGAGAAACGTCGAAAATAACCAAGAGATCACATCACTCAGTGCCTGCTCTAAAGTTTTCGAAATCATCATCAACGACGCATTATTCTCTAGCTGCAGAAATTACATTTCCCCTGACCAACACGGTTTTTATCCCAAGAGATCAGTTTCAACAAATCTAGCTCCGTTCATTTATTTATGTCTTCGGAGTATGGAAGCTGGAGCGCAGGTGGACGTTGTATATACAGATCTCAAGGCTGCATTCGACCGAGTTGACCACTCCATACTGCTAGCTAAACTTGAAAAACTCGGTGTATCCTCGGGTTTAACTCGTTGGTTCAAGTCCTATCTGACCAATCGGGAACTTTGTGTTAGAATCGGATTAGAGCAATCGGACTATTTTACAAACAGCTCCGGTGTTCCTCAAGGTAGCAACTTGGGACCATTGCTATTCTCGATTTTTGTGAATGAAGCCGAACTGATCCTCCCAACCGGTTGCCGATCGTTCTACGCGGATGATGTGAAGATCTATGTGATTGTTCGTAGCTTCGCCGATTGCTTACGGCTTCAGCACCTAATCGATACTTTCGAAGAGTGGTGCTCAAGAAACTATCTCACGTTGCTTCCTTGATGAGGGGTGAAGCTAATTTTTGACTTTTCAAGAAATCCACCCGAAACCTAGTTCAACAGTAATATTTGCTTCAGGGGATAAAACAGCATCGAAAAAAGTACCCTGAGAAATCGTAGAATATATTAAAATGAAATATAATCATTACAATCCAATGAAATTTGTGTGAATATATCTGAAGTTGTACATTGCACCAAAGAGTAGGGAAGGGACTGGGGGTACTTGCTTTACAATTACTCTTATGAGATTGAGCAAATGTTTTTGAATAACCCATCCGAACAACTCGAGAGATGGGAAACTCCGAAGTTATTTTAGTCTTTATCTTTACTTTCACTTTTTTGGTATAAGTGAGGGGCGGAAAGGATACAGTAAGCCCCCCCCCCATATCTAACTACGCCTATTAAATGGAGCACATGTTTTTGAATACATATGATACCAACTTGACAAGATCAGAAACACCGGATTTATTGACCCCAAATGGAACCAAAAAAACATTGTTCTGAAAAAATTATCATAATGACCCATCCTACTATTTATACACTGAGACGCCCACATTCATCAGGAACAATCATTTAGACGAAATGAATGTAATGATTTCATTGATACAACATACATCTTGCGACTTTTTATGCAATACTCTTTCAATCAATCGGAATCCTCTTCATAGAACCCGATCCTTAAAAAAATCAATTCTTTTTTCTATTAATATGCCGAATCAGCTCCAATGTAATCAATATTTTGCATGCATAGAGCACTTTTCCTGAATGCGAAATTCGAGCCCTTCCAAGCGTGTCCGTATTCGCGAAGGTGGACCAATCCGTCAAGCCGCGATTCAATGGCATCATCTATTCCAGCAATTGCGTATGTATACGTTATCTCTAACGAAACATTTCAAGAGAGGATTAATCCATTCATGGAGAACGACTACCATCGACGACACCCACATGCTACGCGAACGACCCACGATGAATCCCCAAAATAGTCTAAGGAAAAAAGCACATAGCATCACGTGGCGTCCTATTCATTGTGAATGGAGGCGAGCAAGACGTATTGTGTATCGTACAGATTCAATTATTGAGGCAAGAGCCACATCGGTATATAGCTTCCTACCTATATTCGTTTCTATATCGTTGGAGCGGCATATGTTTGTGGAAAAGGATCAATTTACACTTGATCTTTCATCGATTCTCTGCGTCTGTCTTTTGTACCGTGCATCAATGGAAAATTTTGAGCAGGGTAAGTGCATCGGTTTTGGCAACAGTTTCCTATTTTGGCCATGCCTTAGAAATGCCTCATTCTGGATGAAATCCCTCACAACTCATGACTTAAAAACGTGAAATAGTGCAAACATGCGACCAAAATAAGAGCGTTTTCCCTAGTGCGAATTTGAATTAAAAAAAAAAATAGCTTTCACCACGAGGGGTGCGACACATCTAAATTGGCATGTCGATTGCAAACAAGATGTACCTATTTTTTTAGATCAGTGTATTTTTGCCGTTTTCACTGTTTTGCTTTTGTCTGCATCCATTTTTATATGCTGCAGTAGGTAGATGCAAAAGATAGAAGTGTAGATAGATCAGATAGATAAAAATAGTTAACTGACAGCGCCGTTCCAAACCGTGCGATTGTATTTTTGTTTTGATTTTTTAACACACTTGAAAACGAAAACTAAAAATCTTCTCCCTCGTTAATTTACATTGCTCCGAGCTTTTGATTATCAAATAGCAATTAAAAGAATTGCTATTAATGTCCAACTTCTTCGTATTGCGTGCAGTTCTCAAGCCAGGTAAACGAAATTGTATCTTTTACGGAACTTGTCTTCTGTCTCGGAAGACACCAATGGCCCACACAGTGACTCCTTACTCGTGGTCCGATCTACCGTCATCGCACAGAAATGATTTTACGCGTAAGTGCAATCACTAACTACACTAACGTGCATACAAGAGGAATCGCAATCAACGTTGCTCTCATTGAGTACCCCACGGAGAAGCTGAAATAGGACCACACTGAACGGAATGCCTGGGGTATGCCGAAAGAACATCCCTTGGCGCGATGCAGTTAGTGCTATGTCACAAACGAAGGAACGTGTGCTGCTGGCAGTTGGGATTTAGTCAAATGGTTGTGTTTATCAACGATGTTCCCGGGTTCAACAGAACCATCACCAACATCGAGATGTTCAAGAACCGGAGGTTCATTCGGGAAAAACAACGGCCATTCTTTCACTGGAAGCCGACGATCAAAACTGGACTGGAAGCTTACACTACATGCAGAGGAATCCTTCATTTCGACGCAAAGAGGAAGATGTTGTTGTGTAACGGGACCGGATGAAATGTGGCCAGTGCTGGAAGCCAGCTTGATGAATGGTCTGTGAGTTACATGTGCACCCATGCTGCTTAATAAAGTTCAGTAAAACAACATCTACCTTATCATTTACTTATCAAGACATACCTGTTTCTCTCTCTCCTTCCATAATCACCAGGTAAGGTAAAAATACAACCAAGGGCGGATTGACTCAATACCCAACGACCAAACGAGTTGAAACTGAAGAATGATGCACTTTGTGCCCCACTGGTAGGTAACCAATTTATCCGACAACCAGCATCGGCTCATGCTATGATAATCCCCTTGTAAAGATGTAGATAAAATCCACTAAATAGATGCCGAATCAAAACGTGTTATGTCAGTAGAGTACGCACTGTCTCGTCCAATGTTGCAGTCGGTACATCTATCCTGTTCTAAGAACTGGAATGAAAACTCCTTTTTGGGCGTGGCATGTAGAAGATATGGGACGATTTTTTATTTTGATTTGTATGCTATTTTACGTTAGTACCCTAAGGAATTCCGGACTATCTCTAGAAACGTGTGTCCTTCAACGAATCTTTATACGTGAATATAAACTAGGATATTGCATCTGTTAATATATGCTCATTGGTAGGAAAATAAAACAGAAACCCTTTTTTTTATCGAATTTTTGGGCGGTACGTTGGTTGGATGAAGGTTAATCATACTTTGGTGCAAATCAAAAAGCCTTATAGTTTCGCTCTTTTTTAGAGACAACATCTGAAGCTACTAAAACCTTTAGACGGGAATTGCATTCCCTTTATCATGGTTTGAGATCTCACTGTTATTATTCGTCACAAGAAAACAAAAACAAGGAACATTTAATGCAATATACATAATATTTAACAATCTTCCCGATTGTGGTTCCAGATCAACCATCCTGTGTGATAAACGGCTACTGTTTCGACTACATACACTGATAGGAACAGATTAGCACCACTGATGTTTCCCAGCATTTCACGATGTCAAGATGTTGTGTCTTCTCCGCTAATTTACTTTAGTATTGCTTAAGCTTGTGCATCTCCGGGAACAAAAAACAACAGAACTAAAATCAAATAAATTCAATTTTACGATTTTCGACAGCATAATATCTATAAACATAAAGTAAAAGCAGTAAAAGTACCTAGGACTGGACATTGTTTTTAACAATTAATTAATGTCCCTCAATGTTGCGATATAGGTTTGTAATGAATGTACGCGCGCGATTCACGAATAAATTAAAACATAACTTTATTGTAATAAAAGAACAATTACAAAACGTGTGAATCACTTTGCTATCGCAATTATATAATGATCATGATGACGCCGTCTCTCGGTCCGGTCCCCAACGTTCGTGCTGGCAGCTGTCAGGCTGACACCTGTCAGCTGATGAACCCTGGTGGTGAAATCGGTGGGGGCCTCTCAACACCTCCCCCCTTTTAGAAGAGTTAGTAAGGTTCATACCTCACGGGCGGCCTACGAAGCCTCGTAGACTGGCGTGTAGGAATCGGTTGTTGCTGTTGATTGCTTAAGGGACGGCGTTGGTTGCTACGTTGAGTTGGCCGCTGAGGTTGTGCTGGCGAATCCGGAAGGTTTTCTGCTTCCGGAGACGATGTCGTAGATAGACCGCAACTGTCCAACAGGACGCTCAGAGGAAGTTGGGATTCTGCTGGTGTTTGTGTTTTTAGTTGTTGCTCATCGGATTGATAGCGAGTTCTCATCTGGTTGCAATGCGATCTTATGAGGATTTGCTTTGTTGGTAGCCAAATGTTATACATTACTTTCCCTAGGCGTTCCACTACTGTTCCTGCATCCCAGCTCCACTTGTTATTCCGGAACACCTTGGTCCAGACGAGATCCTGAGGAATGTAGATTCTCGCTTTCGTGCCATGCTTTTGGTTGAATTGTTCTTCTTGCTTCGAATTCTTGATCTTATGGAACTGTGTTGGTGGACGTAGCAGGTCCAGCGATGTTCGAACTGGTCTACCAACCAAGAGTTCAGCAGGAGATTTTCCATCAGGTGCGGTGCGACATGGTGTAGATCGATAGCATTGGAGAAAAGTGTCGATGGCTTCACGCAACGTTTCCCTCCCTGCGGTGATTTTCTTGAGCGACCTTTTAAACGTGTCTACAAACCTTTCCGCGAGGCCGTTAGACTGCGGGTGGAAAGGTGCAGTTTTCAGGTGGAGAGTAGCATTTTTGTCACAATAGGATTCAAAAGCGTCACTGGTAAATTGTGGCCCATTGTCACTTACCAGCGTTTCTGGAGCTCCAAACCTGGCGAAGATTCCACGAAGGATTCGCACGGTTGCTGAAGTGGTGATCTCCTTGGTTCGCACTACTTCTGGCCATTTGCTGAAGGAATCCACCAAAATGAAGTAGTACCATCCATTTATAGGACCAGCATAGTCCAGATGTATACGCTGCCACGGTTTTTCTGGGGCTGGCCATGATTCGAGATTTATCTTCCGGTCAGTTTTTGCTACACTGGAACATTCATTGCAGGTTTGGACGAGCTTGGCGATATCTTCGTCGACATGAGGCCAATATACGTACTTTCGGGCGATCGATCGCATTCGTTCCACACCTGGGTGACCTTTATGTAGCTGTTGGAGCACCCGTTTCCGAAACATTGGTGGAATAACCAAACGTTCTCCATACATCACGCAATCGGCTACGACGTTGAGCGAGTCGCGTCGTAAATAGAACTGTTCGACTTGAGGGTCGGAGAGATCTTTCTTTTTAGGCGGCCACTTACTATTGACGAATCGAATAACTTGCTGTAGTGTGTCATCGGATCTGGTTTCCGCTTGAATCATCTTGAACGATAGCGGAAATACCTCTAGGGACTCGTTGATAATGCTTCTGATCGAGTTCTCCATTTCGAGATTGGCGATAACGATCTCTTCGTCCGGGCGAATGTGTCGGTTGATCAAACGGGACAAAACATCCGCATGCCCGAAGCTTTCCGTTGAAATGTAGCGAATGTCGAAATCGTAGAGGAGCAACGTCAATGCACATCTTTGTAGTCGATTGGCCGTATACGTAGGAATCCCCTTTTTTGACCCAAAAATAGCGAGTAGCGGTTTATGGTCTGTCTCGAGGATGAATTTTCGACCGAATAACATTCGATGAAAACGGGTTACAGCGAATACGATAGCCAATCCTTCCTTCTCGACCTGACTGTAGTTGGTTTCGGCTGTCGTTAAACTACGGGACACGTGACAAATGGCTTTAATAGTCCCGTCGGGAAGCTGGTGAGCAATTCATGCTCCCAGTCCAAATGCAGATGCGTCCGCCAAAACAATGATGCCCAACATGGGATTGTAGTGGGTCAGCAGTAACGGTGACTGAAGAATCTCTCGAAAACGATCGAAAGATGCTTGACTCGCCGGTGACCATTCGAATTTTACTCCAGCCTTCAGCAGCTGATCCATTGGATGTCGTAGAGTGCGCATCTCTTTGACGTATTTGCCGTAATAGTTTACGGCACCCAAGTAGGAGCGAAGCGTCGAAACTTCGTGTGGTGGAGGCATGCTGACGATCGAAGCAATTTTCTCGGGATCCGGCCTGATTCCGTTGCCATCCAGGATTTGTCCCAGATACTTGACCTGCTGCATGCCGAAGCTACACTTTTCGATGCGTACGGTGAACCCATACTCCTTGAGCCGCGCGAGAGTTAGCTGCAGATTGTGCTGATGCTCTTCTTCATTACGGCCCCCGACCAATATGTCATCGAGGTGGCCAACAGTACAGTTGAGACCAGCATTGTGTCCATCCGCTGTTGAAAGGCACCCGGAGCTTACTTGATACCGGGTGACAAGCGCGTAAATTGAAAGAGGCCTTTGTGGGTGTTTATGGTTAGTAGCGGTTGGTTGGCTTGATCCACCTCTACCTGCAGGTACGCGTCGGACAAGTCAATGTGACTGAAAATCCGACAGTTTGCCATCTTCGCAAAAATATCCTCGGGCAAAGGCAATGGATACTGGTTTGGTTCCAGAACGCTATTTAGACCAGTCGAAAAGTCGGCGCAGATACGGACGGTTCCATTTGGCTTCCGAACCACGACAATCGGTGCCGCCCAGTCGCTGAAATCCACTTTCATCAGGATGCCAAGGTTTTGCAGGCGAAAAATCTCCTCCTCCACAACATGCTCCATGGAGTAAGCCACCGGTCGTTTTGGTCTGAACACCGGCTTGGGGTTACCTTTGAGGACCAGTTTGACGGGAGTCTTGTTGCACAGACCTATCTCACTGGAGAACACCTCAGGAAACTGCGCTTGAAGGGTCGCTACACGTTGATTTGCCTGTGTAGTCACTTGATTGCAGTACGACGCTATCGAACAATTCCATCCAGTCTAAAGGTTGATACGGTCAAAATTTGGTCAAGGGAAAACGCGTGGAAATCGGTGAAATCGTTTATTTAAAAAATCAAATTAAATTTCTTTTTCAAGTTCAATTAGTATAAAATTCAGGAAAAATATTCAGTTAGGCTTCCGCTTTTCCAAATCCGAATTGCCGGGCCTTACGCTTGACCCCTGCCATCAGATTTTGTACAGCCACCTTGTCCACCTTCTTCGCCGCAGAAAGCCAGTTTTCCTTGAACTGCTGCTCGCCCTTAGTAGTTTTTTTGGTCTTCTTTAGGTTCCGCTTGACAATAGCCCAGTATTTCTCAATTGGGCGGAGCTCTGGCGTGTTGGGAGGGTTCTTGTCCTTGGGAACCACCTGCACGTTGTTGGCGGCGTACCACTCCATGGCCTTTTTACCGTAATGGCAAGATGCCAAATCCGGCCAAAACAGTACGGAACAACCGTGTTTCTTCAGGAAAGGCAGCAGACGTTTATTCAAACACTCTTTCACGTAAATTTCTTGGTTGACAGTCCCGGAAGCTATGAAAATGCTGCTTTTCAAGCCACAGGTACAGATGGCTTGCCAAACCAGATATTTCTTTGCGAACTTTGACAGTTTCATGTGCTTGAAAACATCTGCTACCTTTCCCCTTCCTTTTGCCGTATAAAACTCTTGTCCCGGAAGCTGCTTGTAGTCGGCTTTGACGTAGGTTTCGTCGTCCATTACCACGCAGTCAAACTTCGTCAGCATCGTCGTGTACAGCCTCCGGGATCGCGCTTTGGCCGTCGTATTTTGTTTATCATCGCGATTTGGAGTCACTACCTTCTTGTAAGTCGATAGTCCGGCTCGTTTTTTGGCTCGATGCACGGTTGTAGACGATACACCCAGCTTATTTGCGGCATCTCGGAGAGAGACGTTAGGGTTTCGCTTGAAACTACCGGCAACTCTCTTTGTCGTCTCAGCGGCTTCCGGTTTTCGATTTCCCCCGGATCCAGACTTCCTGGCTGTCGACAAACGTTCCCCAAACACTTTAATTACATTTGTAACGGTTGATTTGGCAACTTTTAGCAATTTTGCCAACTTTGCGTGCGAGTAGCTCGGATTTTCGCGATGCGCGAGCAAAATTTTGATACGCTGCTCTTCTTGCTTGGACGACATTTTGACAACTGAAGAGTGAATTCCAAAATCAAAATAGGAGCAACATTCTACACACACACCTTCAAAATGAGGGGTGTTCAGGTTTTTTAAATGCAAAATTGAAAGAAATACGTCAAGTTGATATTGACCAAATTTTGACCGTATCACCCTTTATGCCTAGAATGTCAAAATGAACGTTAGGAGAAGCAACGAAACACTTACCCTCCCGTATGATGCCGTTGAGGGTTATATTGCACTCCAATTCCGCAACCAGTTCAAGCGGTTCCCCTGATGCTGTTTTAGCGCTGCAAATTGCTGGTTTTACTTTTGGTCGACCGATTCTGGCCCACGATCGGTGCGAAATTATTGAGATGTCGGAACCTGTGTCCAACTGAAGACAAAGCGGAACGTTGTTGAGTTGGATTTCGGCGAATTTCCGCCGCTGACCGATGCTTCGGACGGTTACTATCTTCGACAACGACTGTCGCCTTTTCTTCTTGTTATCCGAGCGATTGACAGCGTTGTTCGATGATTTCGACGAGAAGCAGGCACAATAGCCCTCACGGTGCCCGTACTTTCCACATTCGTTGCACCTGTGATCTCTGAACCGGCAATCCTTATTGTAGTGCATGCCCCCGCATGACCAGCAGGGTGTCTTGGGTTGTTCCCGGTTGTTGCTGCAATCCGAAGGTGACTGACGCTTCGACGTTGTTCGCTTGGAGTACGCGACAGCTTTCACCGTTGAAGAACAACTTTCAACCATCACTGTGTCCTGCTTCAGGTTGACCAAGCTGTTACACTGTTCCACAATCTGCTGTAGGGTCAGGTCCGCCGATTCATTTAGCTTGTTGATGAGGCGCATCCGAATCTCCGCCTCTTGCTTGGATTTAAGGCCACACACGTAAATGAGGCACTTAAACTGTTCCTCTGTCAACTCCGATAATTTCAAGTCTACGCAGGTTTTGTTTACCTTGCAGGAGTACGCCAGGTAATCATCGCTGTCCTCCTTGGTGGTCTGCAAGCAGTTGTATCGCCGCCGGAACGTTGACACTGTGGCACCGAACAACGATTTTAATTTTTCCACCGTAGCAGCAAAAGTAAACTCTCGAGCGAGCTTCGGAAGAATGAAGCTGTTGTACCGCTCATGATCGGGTGGGCTTAATTTCCGCAGGAGTAGTCGCACTTTTGCAGCGTCATCCAGCTTGCCGGCATCTTTGTCGAAAAGGTCGATGTAGCGGGAAAACCATGCGTCAAATGTGTGCCCATTGTCTTTGTCGTAGACGAACTCCGCCATGTTGCTAGAGAGGGAGTCCAGCACCGATTCGTCGCGGGATAGGTTGTTCACGGTGAGCTGAGTAGTGGCCAACTGCTGGGAGATTTGCCGCATCAATGCCTGCTGATTGTTCAGGATCTGCACCAACGCCTCTGTAATGTTGGTCGGCTGTGGCTCCACCATCGCTACCAAACTTTATCCCCGGTCTTCTAATCCGCGAAAACACCGGACAAACGCGCAATTTTCCGCACGAAAAACTCCTACACCTCGTCGCCACTGTTGCGATATAGGTTTGTAATGAATGTACGCGCGCGATTCACGAATAAATTAAAACATAACTTTATTGTAATAAAAGAACTATTTCAAACGTGTGAATCACTTTGCTATCGCAATTATATCAACAATCAATACGAAACTAACGATTTTAAATTGGCTCACCACTTTAATAGCCTATTGGTCCCAAGCAAACGATTAACGTACCCTATTCTAGTTGAAATTCTATTACTACACTATGTTTGTTTTGATTCGCTATGAAAGTTTGACAGATAACATCAGGGGTGTGTGGATTCATGCAGAACATGCAGGGGTGAGTGAAATAGCTTGGGACTGCTTGGGACCGTTGTTCTGGTACTGAGTGAGCCAAAAATAATAATGATTTTCTTCGGGACCCAGTGGTCTTAGAGTTATCTCTATGATTATATAATGATCATGATGACGTCGTCTCTCGGTCCGGTCCCCAACGTTCGTGCTGGCAGCTGTCAGGCTGACACCTGTCAGCTGATGAGCCCTGCACGGTAAGAAAAAAGTACCCAAAATTGAGTTCCTTTCACTCATCACGTGGCTTCCGTGGGGCTAGGTAAAATTAAGTTAAAGAAGAAAACTCAATTTTGAGTAATCCTGATCGTTGACCAATTTGACAAAAAAATAATAAAACGGAGCAGACTGGAACCGAACCATGGACGTTGAGATTACGGGGCCCGTGTGTTGACCAGTCGTCTATCAACGCTTGTAAATCTGAAAAGGTTAAAGGAGCATAAGAGCAACCTCAATGAAAATAAACTTATATTTGAGTTCATTTATTATTACTCAACAGTTGAGTAAATTTTAACCAACGCCGCTTTTCTGATTCACTCAACGGCGGACCTCAAATGATAGAACCCAACGTTGAGTTTTTTTAAACTTAATTTTGAGTATTTTTTTCTTGCCGTGGTGGTGAAATCGGTGGGGGCCTCTCAACACTCAAGGCACGGCCATTCAAAATGAGCAAGAATGCGATTTCAACAAGCTCTTGACCGCCAGCTTTCGTCACTACCTCCGCCGTCTGTGGGTTGAATTCTACAATAAAAAGGTAAAGATTTTTAGTATTTTAAATCCTGCGTTACAATATGAATCATGAATCCGGCACAAACGAAGCACATTTGTGATTCCGGTTTCGTAGACGTCTGAATCAGATCTCGCTAATATTTCACTTTACAACTGGAATCTAAGTAGTAGTTTTTCTGATGTTTTGTGTGGATCATCTTCGCTGAAATATTCGTAAATTAAATTTTCAATTCACTTCCATTGCCAATATCGACTCCAGTTCGAATACTTACGAATTCTTCACTCCAGCGAACAGCATCTCCCAGATCTTTCCGTAACTCCCAGCCATCATTCCCGAGGTCACGCTTCAAATGATTTCACTCGAGGTCTTAATCATCAACTGATAGGAAGAACATTTTGAGGAGTCGAGTTTCGAACGCCTTTGGATACGGTTGTGTATTAAGTGTGTTCTCTGTTTTGTGCGTGCATTCGCTTTCATAGTTTTCGGCTGCATTTGCCGGATTAGCGCTGGCACTCTGCATTTCCGTTTGATTTTGGAAATCAGTATCACAAAATTGCCCACCGATTCCTTTTTTGCCGTTCGACGACGACGGGTGTGCTTTCGCAAGAGTGACGTTTATTGGATCTTTGCACGGGTGTTTTTTTTTTGTAACTAGCGTAAGTGTGCCTGCGTATTACATTGAGTGTCGGAGATTGTGAGTTAGCTGAAGGATGTCTCGCTGGATATGCCCAAGTCTTGACGGGCGGTAACTGGTGGCCGTGAACGGTTCCTGGGGAAAGCACTAGATGCGAACCTCCTCCCAGATATCCATGGCAATACAGGAAGTATCACAACAAAGGTAATTGCTATTCGATATTTTGCAAACAGTGACAGATAGCGGACATGAAGAACCAGTGGAGGTGCCGGGCAAAGGTGATTATCCTAGACAAATGGTAAGTTACAAATTCTCTGTTGTCGTTGTCGTACGCCGTTGTAGTCGCTGTCGTAATCGCCGTCGTAGTCGTAGGCAGCACCGTTAGTATATTTAAAATTAAACATCAACCGCTGAAAATATGAATTATCGCGTATTTCTGTTGTTCATTACATTCCAAGTGAAATTCGAGAACGTAATTTCATTTGAATAGCTTGTTTAACCAGGTCTTAAACAATCGTCACGTCGGTCATAGCTTGTTATGATTATTTGAACCATGCGTAAAGAGAAAATCGAAACATTGAACGTCGCGTGAAAGTGGATCTTAATGAAGGCCTAAGTACTCTCTCGTAGCTTTTAGTTTTAGGATTTCAAAGATCGTCGGTTGCAGTGGCTTGCTGAGGAGAAAAACGCGGTCCCAGATCCTTTCATATTAAAAATGCATGGTAAGATCGCTTGTTTATCGTGTATTTTGTAAAACTTTTCGTTGTCCTCGGTGCCGGATTTGAATAGTTATAAAACTTGAGTAACGCTATAATGTGATATGAGAGGCGCGGTGACCTTAGAGCAATCGTTTTTGCTTACTGAGCAGAACATCATGAGTCTAATCTCAAGCCCATCCACACTCAAGATTCCTCAATGATTAAAAAGGAGCTCGTCTGCCTAGTGGCCAACGTGTTTGCTTACTGAGCAGAAGACCGTGGGTTCAATCCCAAGCTCCTTCGCGTTATACGATCGTTAGGACATCAATTCAGCTTATCGTTTACCAAAACGAACCCTGCTGCTAACCCAACCCTCTTACCCAACATCCCTGTGATTCCTCGTGGAAGTGCAGAGGACTCCTCGGCTTCCATCAAAGCGAGTGTCACGTCAACACATTCCTACCCATTCCTTTCTTGACCTGCGTTCAGGCGCGGCTGGCGCTGGTATTGCCTAATTCGAGATCACCAGTTTTTACACATTGAGGATGATTGCTAGCCCCAAGCATCGTCTATTGGTTATCTGTGTAATTACAGCTGGTCTGGCAATAACAGAGTAGCAACCGTTGGAGGTCAATCATGCTCATGCTCATGCTCATAGGAAGAACATTTTGCACTGACGGAACTACTTTTCCATCATTTCTACTAGCAGGCATCCTGGATTGAAACTGTAATGTAATGGCTTAGAGATTTTCCACTTCCACGAGACATATAGTTGCTTACCTTATATCTAAGCGATTTATTGCTGATTGCATCTGAAACTGGACTGTCCCTGCAAAAAGTGTGATAAAATTGCACGTTTCCATCAAATCGTTTTGATGTCTTCGGAGCACTTATTGCTAGCATCATAAGGAATAAGTGCACGTAAACTTGCAGTTTTATCACACTTAATAAGTGAAAAGGCGCTTATTAGTCCAATTTTGTGTGAAACGCGCAATACCTACAGCGCTCTCCACGAATATTTTTTTTTCCCTTTATTAACGAGACTTTCTTCAAAAAACTGTCGCATTAATGGCCCTTCGCTCATTTTCAACTTCTATTCAATTTTCATACTGCCGTGCTCTAACGGAACTATCCACCTACCCTCTTCTAAAGATCATTCTCTAGCTAATAAATCATCACACTAAAACTTCATGTTAGCATTTCCAACCAACTCTGAGACTTTCAGCCTTAGGCTGGTTCATCTCTACAACTTCACGAATAAACAATCGAGAAACTTCAGAAAAGGTTTGATTAACTTTCTGTATTAGAAAACTAAACGAAGCGAAAATCAATTATTTTCTTCATGTGTTTCACTTATACATTTTGGCCAAAACATCAGCCTTATGCATTCCATAAGACAAACCACATAGGTCCTATAAGAATGCATTAAAGGTATGGTTGACCGCTTATACATTTCATTTGACACATGATCTTCATCAAACTTTTTAGAAGGCGTCTGCTTATTAGTTGACTTATACATTTTATGAATAATCAGCAATATAAATTTGCCAAAAGGTATAAGGAGATTTCTATCCGTGTAACACATCAGACTTAATTCTCGAGCAAATCAAGCACTCCTTTTCAAAACTTTTCCCTTTGTTGTTTTGTTCGTGCGATGGGAAAAGATGGGAATGGGAGAAAGTAGATGTAGTGACGTTGGAGTTGATGGATGTAGATGGCATAGATAGAAACATATTTTTTTTCCTTTGGTTTGTTTTTTTTTTCTGTCGAGCTTGTTTTCCGTGCTGAGCACCAATGCTACCGACGTGCCAGGAAGGCAGCTCCCACACCTGGACCCTACCTATCGACCCATCAACTCATGAACCGGGGACCAACGGCTTTACTTTCCATCCGAAGGAAGGCGTGATCAGAGATGTTATGCCTCAGAACATCCCAGCGGCGCCGACTAGGATTGAACCCAGGCCTGCTGGGGTGAGAGGTAATCACGCTTACCACTACACCACCGGCGCCGTTAGATAGAAACAGATGAAAATGTTGATTTAAGATTTATTCGTTTTCAAGAGAAAAGCTGATGATCAGCAGAAAACAAATTTTAATATTACATCCAAGAGGATGCACTTCAATCATGTCGAAAATCTCATGTAATTTTTAATGGTCACAAAAATAAACAAATGCAGTAAAAGCAGCGTACTGTCAGTTCATGCACTGTATTAATGATAATCTTGTCCTTTCGAACCAAGCCGGAGGCGGCGGGTTCGATTTCTGGTCCGGCCTAGGGAATCCTTTGGGTTGGAAATTTTCTCGACTTCGCTGGGCATAGAGTAGCATTGTGCTTGCCACGCAATATACAAATTCATGCATTGGTATTGGCATCGAAAGCGTTCAATTAATAACTGTGAAAGTGCATTTAGAACACTAAGTTGAGAGCACGTAATAAGCTAATATGATGTGAGCAAAAAGCTTGAAATGCGAAAAAGAAGTCCTTTTTGGCAAGTATTATTGCACCATATTTTTGACACGATTGAAG